TAATCGTAGCCTAGCAATTTGGCAACCCATTTTTGCTGCTCCAATGTTGCCAAACGTTGTTCCAAAAAATATTTTAAATTGTGTTGGTCGGTTTGAATGAAGAACTTCCTCCCCAATAAATATGGTTGTCACACGCGTATAGCCTCCACAATTGCAAGAATTTCTTTAGCGTAGGTTGACCACGATTTTTTGGTAACTCCCAGTGCACAGCTCATAAAGGTGATGGGCTTGCCTTGTTGAGTTAAGACCGTGCCTATTCCTTCCCCTACAGTGTCCGTTTCTATGGTGAAGGACTCGTTGAAATTGGGCATTGCCAAAACAGGTGTGGTGGTCATCGCTTGCTTAAGAGTCACGAAGGCTACTCCTGCTTCCTCATTCCATCCGAACTGCCCCTTCTTGAGGAGGTTGGTAAGGGGTTGAGCGATGATGTCATAATTCCGAACAAATTTCCTATAATATCCTGTCAAGCCTAAAAAACCACGTAATTCAGAAATATTAGTTGGTTGAGGCCACGCCACCATGGCTGCAATTTTGTGATTATCGACCTTTACTCTTTGAGGTGTAACAGTGTGTCCCAAATATTCTAACTCCTATTGGCCGAATGCACACTTGCTGGTCTTGGCAAAAAAATTGATGCTGCCTCAAAATCTCCAAGGTTTGTTTAACATGCTCCACATGCCTATACCAAGTAGAACTATATATGAGAATATCATCGAAGAAAACCAAAATAAACTTTCAAAGATAAGGTCGAAGTATAGAGTTCATGATGGATTGGAATGTAAAGGGTGCATTACATAGGACAAACGAAATCACTAAATATTCGTAATGACCGTTGTGCATACGAAAAGCAGTTTTGAGTATGTCGGAAGGATTTACTCTTACTTGGTGATATCCGGCCCTTAGATCAAGCTTGGTAAAGTAGGATGTGACATGTAATTCATCCAACATGTCATCTACTATCAGAATAGGAAATTGGTCCTTGATGGTGGTGGTATTGAGTGCGCGGTAGTCTATGCAAAATCACCAACTTCAGTCTTTTTTCTTCACCAATAATACTGGCCACGAAAACGGACTGGTGCTCGGTCGAATGAGGTCAGAATTCAACATCTCTTGAACTTGTTTCTCGATTTCTTCCTTCTGGAAATGGGCATATCGATACGGGTGTACATTAATTGGCTCGCCCCCCTCCTTGAGTGTAATGTAATGCTCTACCTCGCGCACAGGTGGTAGACTTGAGGGCTCTTGGAACACGTCTGCATAGTCTTTCAGCAACCTTTGCATATCTTGCTGCTGACATCAGGTGGCGCACCATGTGCTGCTGTTCCCAGGTTTGGTTGAAAGCGCACTACAAATAATGCATGGCCTTGGCAAAGCTCCTTCGATAATTCATTGGGTGAAGCAACTTGAATTGCCTGCATGTCTACCCCTTAAAGCCTTCGGTTTTGATTGTCCTAAATAAAATTCATGGTCAATTGTTTCCAATTACAGACCATGGAGCCAAGCATTTCAAGCCATTGTGCACCAAGTACAAGGTCAAGACATGTTAAAGGCAGAGAAAAAGGAGTGAGGTAAAACTCAGTACCCTGCAACTCCACTCGTACCTTATCGTAATGCCCCTGACACTTTAGTTTCTCTCCATTTGCCACCCGAATAGAAAATGCTTCCGTAGGAACAACTAGCAACCTGAGCAAGTTTGCCAAGCGATCGCTGATGAAATTATGTGTCAATCCACTATCAACCAAAACCACCACTTCGTGAGGGCCTATTCTTGCTGCTATGCGCATGGTTTTTAGACTAGTCCATCCTGTTAATGCATGCAACGTGATTTCGGGTTCCATTTCAAGTTCATGTACTTCCCATGTATCTCCACCTTGGTGTTCTTTCGACATCTGCTGGTCAATAATTTCTTTGCATACCACGTTACATGCATGCCCCTCAAAGAGTAATAATTGTGGTCTTTGACATCTATGCCTAGCTGTGAAGCATTCATTGTAGTTGAAACAGAGACCTTGAGCCCTTCTCTTTTGCATTTCTTCCCAAGTTAAGCATCTGATTGGAACAGCAGGGGTAGCAGGAGCTACACGCGTGGTTTATGGAAGAGCTAAAGGAGTTCTTGTGGGTGGAGTTCACGTGAACCGTTGCTGCCATGTAAGCTACTCGTCTCGCATTCGTGCTAAATTAATGGCCTCCTTGAGGGATTGCGGTTTAAACATTTGTATCCCATCAGAAATCTCAGCCTTCCAACCTCCCATGAATGTCCCCACCAATGCCCTTTGCATCCATCCATGCACCTTTTTGCTGAGCTTCTCAAATTCATGTTGATAGTCTTTCAACATTCCCAGTTGTCTGATCCTTGAGAGAGCTTAATCAAAGTCTTCACATCTTGACGGTCCAAAGCGAGCCCATAATTCCTCTTCAAATTTTTCCCAAGAAACCACGTGTCCTTCTTCCTGTAATGTCCTGCGAAGCCACTACCGCCATTGGTTGGCCTCCCCTTCAAGGTGGTAAGCAGCCATGGGAAACCTTTGGTTGGCTGTCGTGCCCTGGTATTCAAAGAATTGTTCCACCTGATTGAACCACTCTGTTGGATTGTCTCCAGAGAAGCGTGGAAATTCTAGCTTGGCTAATTTGGACGAGACTATCTATCGACCTCCATCTTGGTTTTCTCGGTGGTGATCGCCATGATTTGAGGACTCCAGATTAGCGAGTAGTATGTTCGAAAGTCAATTGAGAGCTTCCTCCAAATGGTGGAGTTTGTCGTTCATACCAAACTCCATTCACTGTAGTCCCTCTTGAACTGAACTGAGCCCAAACACCAAGTGCTCAATCCGCTCCTTGTTGGTTCCCATAAGAAACTTGGCTCTGATACCAATGATAGGTCCCGTAAAACACTCACGAAAATATCCTCTTCGAGTGAGGATCTACCACAGTTAACTGGAATAATTTTTTCTTCCCTTCATTGATAATCCACGACTACTTATATAGCATACCATATGCATGAAACTGAAACACAGAGTAATCCGAAAACAGAGGAACGTCCTAAGGCCACTACTAGTAACCGACACTTTACAAATGGAATAATCGAAATGGACTCCACGTACTACTGAAATAAAATGCAACAAAAAGACAACATCAAGCTTAAATTTCTCCAACTGCTAAGACCTAGTCCATGCATGCATGCACACCACTACGTCCTCACGTCCCGTTTGCGTCTCCTCCGTCAACCTCCTCCTCCCAAATATTTGGGATTTGGTTTGAAACCTCTAGCTGAACATTGTGGCTTATCACTGAAGAAAAGCTGAAAGCAAATAAATGAAGATAACAAGAACAAAAGACCCTCTTCAAGTGAGTGAAAATGTGGTCTCATTAAGTCTAGCTTGTATATGGAGGATGAGCTAAATCTTTGTCAGGACTCTGGTAATTCTGAAAGTTTGATCTTTTCATCTGTTAGATAAAAATATATCAGAAAAATAAACAAAACAAAGGCACTGCCTTTAATTGTTGTTTGTTTCAAAAGAGGGAATTCAGAAAATCTTCAAATATTCAAAGCCAATGAATCCAACCTAACAAAATAAGATGTTATATTAGTAATGCAGGATGGGGTTAATGCCAACTACACGTTCTGAAACTTCAAACATCCACTCTTTATGGTGCAATTGAAACATTTCCAATAAAGTATACACCTTTGGGAGAAAGCTTTGCCAATAAAAAACAGGGTCCCCTGTTTTCCTCTATTCCCTTCCCTTTTAACAAAGGCCTCACAAATTTATCCCATCCACATCTTTCATTTACATCTGTCAACATATGTTAAACTCTTTTCTTTCTCCAGTGGGAAGTAAATTGAGAATTCCATCGGGAGCACAACTTTGCCAACCAAAATTAGGTGCCCTATTTTGCCCTGTTTCCATGGAACATTGCCTTTAAGACACTTGTTTTTATTAATATGCTTAAAGATGGACATTGAAAACTAAATGACAAGTGTCTACTTCGAATATTATCAATAATCAGTCATTTTTAATTTTAAATGACCAATGTGCTAATTTTGAATATGTAGATAAATTAAAGTCCTTTGTTTATCATTCACAATCATCTCTCCGGAGACTCCTAAACTGCATAATTGTGCAACTTGCATATCAGATAAGATTTGTGCAGCAATGGAGATACCAGTTCAAGGAACAGATGCAAACCAGAAGCTGCATTCGTACTTACAGCAAAAGAGGTACATTGTTTTTTTAGATGGAATTTGGAGCAATGATGAGTGGAATCATATTCAGCGCGCTTTACCAAGAACGACTTTTTCCCACCCAAGGTTTGGCAAAACGACATTTTCACACCCGTGAAGTTTCAAAACAACACTTTTCCACCCACCATTATGTTCAGTTAACAAAATCTGTTACTGTTGATTGCAAAGACGAAAATACCCTTTATTGTTTGATTTAATAATTTTTTTAATTATATGTCATGTTAACAAAATCAATTACCAATATACCCACTCTTAAATACAAAATTATTAATATGCCCTTAACTGTATATGAAAATATAAATAACCAATTTATCCCTCCATTATTTTATTATTTATTAAAAATAATGTTTCAAATAAATGAAGTTACAATTAGATTTTTAAAAATTTGAAACCTTTAAAATTACCAATTTATCCTTGTAGTTGTTGCATCACATTCATATTTAAATTGTCAATTTAAATCCAAATAAAACTAAGTATCAACATTACTATATTCTTAAATAAGAATCCAAATTGTAAAATTACAGTGCATATGTATAAATAATTTTGTCAATTCAAACCCAATAAAAATAGGGAATTCAATACAAAGAAAGAAGCTTTTCCAGTTTCTCATTCATTTCTTAAAATCCAAAAAATTTAGCTTTCACCCTCCCGCTTTCTAGCTCCCTTGAAGCTTGACTTTCCTTTGCTTTCTAGATCTTCAAAACCTTCTTCACAATCCTTTGCTCTTCCACCAAGAAAGCTCGAATTTGATGTATTATTTTCAGTCAAAGTTACAATCTTCAGTACTTTTGCAATTGCCTTAGGAGGCTATTCTCCATTTAACTCTGCGTCAAAGAATTGCTTCACCTTATCTTCACTGAGTTTTGGAGTTGCCTAAAACAATCCAGAATTGCATAAAAATCAGCTTGAATGAAGCTTACACATATGTGAATTTGTTATCTATCAGCATAGAGAATAACAAAATAGAAAAAATATGTACGTTCCAAAACAAGTTAGTGGTAGAAAAGAACAAAGATGAAATTCCTACCCATTCACAAGGCTCTGCTGCTCACACCACAGAGTATGATCAACAAGCTTCCGCCCAGTTAAGAGTTCCAGCAGGATAAGACCAAAGCTATAAACATCACTTTGCACTCGTCTATCCTATCATAGTGTATCTGCAATCCAAAATCAAATATTAAGGCCAAAATATTTATAGGTGCTTTAGGAAAAAAAAAAGGAGACATAATTTTCCAAACCAAGGTTTCAAGTGTACCAGTCAATCTGACATTCTTTTCCTATTTGTTTCATCACTTTTAACTTCACTTCTCCAGGGTTCTGACATAGTTTCTCGGTTAACTGTAAGCAAAACCAAGCACTATTAAGTCATATGAAAAGATACGATGACACGCCAAACATAGCATAATATGCAAAATGTTCCCGCATGTACCATCTCCATTCTTGATAACATGTTTGATGAGAAGCTCTATAATAGTATGAATGTATATCTAAAAAAATGAGATATCTACAAATTGGGAAGTTATAAATCTTTGATTACCATGGGATTTACTCCAGAATTAGGCTGCAGATACAAAATCTTTCTCATATTTTTTTTCTCAAAAATATTCCTCATTGCCACTAATTCTAGAATTTTCTGAGGACCTTGGGAAGGCATATATCACACTAGCTTTCCATTTGCAATGATGGTAAGTCTGGCCGCTAGTAACTCAGAAAATAGCCTGTGGAGAAATATTTTTCTTGTATTTCATAATGAGATGTACAATAAATTTATAGCAAAAACAAAAAACTAATCTAGGAAGTAAATGTTACATTCCTATTATAATTTTATTTCCCATATTACAATGAGAATAATTCTATTCCTTTATTACAAGAGATAATTCTATTTCCTATTATCATTTCAACACTCCCCCAAGCTGGAGCATATAAGTCATATGCACCAAGCTTGTTACAAATAAAGTCAACACGAGAACCTTTGAGAGACTTAGTGAGGATGTCTGCTAACTGGTGTTGGAACTGACATAACTAGTTGCAATACACCCTGATAGAACTTTCTCTCGAACAAAGTGACAATCAATTTCTATGTGTTTAGTCTCTCATGAAACACTGGATTTGAAGCAATATGAAGGGCAGCCTGATTATCACAGAGTAACTTCATTTGTGATACTTCGACAAATCTCAACTCTTGAATTAGTTGTCTTAACCAAACCAGCTCACAGTGGCTAAGGCCATTGCACGATACTCTGCTTAGCACTTGATCTTGCAACAACGTGTTTCTTACTTTTCCATGAAACTACGTTCCCTCCAACAAGAACACAAAATCCTGAGGTAGAACGTCTATCAGATGGAGAACCTGCCCAATCAGCATGAATATCCGACAATATGCGAATGACCCTTATTTTCATACAGTAAGCCTCTACCTGGTGCTCCCTTGATATACCTTAAAATCCGGACAACTGCATCCAATGACTATCACACGGAGTTTAAAGGAACTGACTCACAACACTAACAGAAAAGGAAATATCCGGTGTGTGATGTAAGATAGTTAAGTTTTCCAACAAGTCTTCGATACCTTCCAGGATCAGTAAGAGGCTCCCCCTGTCCAGGTAAAAGTTTTAAATTAGGATCCATATGAGAGTCTATTGGTCTGCAATCTGACATCCCTGTTTCCTCTAGAATATCAATACATACTTCCTCTGAGAATACAATACCAGATTTAGACTAAGCGACTTCTATGCCAGAAAGTATCTGAGTAGCCCTAAGTCTTTCGTCTGAAAGTGTTTGAACAAGTGTTGCTTCAACTGTCCAATGCCATCTTGATCACTTCTGTAATAACATATCATCGACATAGACAACCAGATAGATACACTGCCCTAATGATGTATGTCTATAGAAACACAAGTGATCAGACTCACATCGAATCATACACACTCTTGGATAACTGTGCTAAACGTCCAAACCAAGCACGAGGAGACTATTTTAGACCATATAGAGAACGACGAAGTTTACATACCAAACCAGACTCCCCTGAGCAACAAAACCAGGAGGTTGCTCCATATAAATATCTGCCTGAAGTTCACCATGAAGAAAAGCATTCTTAATGTCAATTGATGCATAGGCTAGTTTCGAATGGCGCCATAGAAAAGAACAACCGGACGGAAGACATCTTAGCAACAGAGAGAAAAAGTGTCAAAAAATAGTCCCATAGATCTGAGTGTATCCCTTGGCCACCAAACGGGCTTTCAGCTGATCAACCTTACCATCTGGACCAACCTTTATAGGTAAATCCATCGACAACCAACAGTCGAATGGCCCGGAGATAAGGAAACTAACTCCCAAGTATGATATGATGCAAGCAGACATTTCTTCAACCATTGCCTAACGCCACCCGGGGTAGAAAGTGCCTCATGAACATTGCAAGGAACAGAAACAGAAGAAAGGGTGGAGACAAGGCATAATATGAAGGAATAAACGATGATAACTCAAAAAATTGTAGATGGGATGAGGGTTGCGTGTAGATCGCATACCTTTACGAATAGCAATGGGAACTGATCAGTTGGAGACAGGACCGTGGCATTGAGGAATCGGGCACAGGACCTGAGTTACAGGGATCTCAGGAACGGCAGCGGGAACATCAGGATACATGAAAAGGAACAAGACTATGTCGATAGGAAGAGTGTAAGTAGGAGACTGAGGTATCAAAATAGACGAAGGTGGGAAAGCAACGTATGGAATAGGTAGAAACATCTACTACTGGATCAGAGTCCACTGGAGGATGAGGAAAAAATGAGAAGACTCAAAGAACGTACATCAGCAGAGATGAAGTAGCGATGTGTGGCGGGAGAATAACACTTGTAGCCCTTCTGAAGACGTGAATACCCTAAGAAAATACATTTCGTAGTCTTGGCTGACAGTTTATCCTGACCAGGAGGGAAAATGTGAACAAACATGTGCTCCCAAAGACACGCGGGGGAAGAGAAAATAATGGAGTATCAGGGAATAATATGGAGTGTGGAACCTAGTCTTGTAAGACAGAGAAGGCATGCGATTTATTAAGTAACAGGCGGTTAGAACGCGGTCAGCCCAAACGGAAAGGGACGTGGCTATGTAAAAGAAGAGTGCGAGCAGTTCAATGAGATGTCTATTTTTACGCTCAGCAATGCCATTCTGTTGGGGACTATAAACACAAGAAGACTGATGAAGAATTCCTTGAGATGTCATGAATTTAGTAAAGGAATCAGAGAAATATTCACGAGCATTATCACTTCGTATATACGAATGGTAGTATTATGTTGAGTCTTAATTTCAGCACAAATGATGAAAATATGGAAAATAATAGAACAAGAGCGCATAAGAAATAACCAAGTGCAACGGGAATAGTCATCAATAAATGTAACAAAATATTTAAATCCCAAAGTAGAGTTAACACGACAAGGACCCCACACATCTGAATGCACTAACTCAAAGGGGGACGCAGCCCGTTTATTGACATGCTTTGGAAAAGAACTACGAGTATGCTTTCCAAGCTGACACAACTCACAACTCAAGGACGATAATTTAGATAGACCTGGGATCATTTTCCGAAGTTTGGAAAGACTAGGATGGCCCAAACGATTATGAAGGAGATCTGGAGACTCAGAGACAATGCATACTGTAGATGGGATATGGAGATGATAGAGACCCTGTGACTCACGTCCTGTGCCAATCATCCGTCCCGTGTCGCGATCCTGTATAACACAAGAGTCAATATCAAAACGAATAGAGCAATTTAAGGAGCGGGTAAGTTTACTAACAGACACGAGATTAAATTGACATTTGGGAATATAAAGCACAGAGTCTAATGCTAAGAGGGGAGGGGTTTTGCACATCCAATAGCTTGAACATCGGCTTTAGACCCATTGGCTAAAGTAAAGGAGGTAAAGATACAGTATTTGTAATCTGAGTAAGTAAATGACGGTTACCAGAAATATGATCCGAGGCACCTGAATCTAGGACAAGGTCCTAAAGCGGAAGACTGAGAAAGGCAAGCAACTGAATACCCGTTGAGCGACGGAGGCAATGGATGAAGAAGACTGCTTACTGGCCTGATACTGTAAGTATTCATCATAATCAGTACCTGTGAGATTAAGGAGGGCTGAGCTAGCACTGTAGAGGACTCAGAATGAAGATCAGAGTGATCAGCCTGAGCAATATTAGCAGCTCGGGTAGGTCGACCATGTAACTTAAACATTTCTCTCTGGTATGCCCCCACCGATGACAGTAACTACACTTGGGTCGATTTCCTGGCACTTCGATCGCCCTGTTCTCGAAAAATGTGGGACTGAGAAAAAAGGACTGAAGAGTCACCTGGGGAATGCACAGTAGTAGGGGAGGAAACCGAAGTAATCTGGCAAACACTTCGTCAGGGAAGGACAGTGGATCCAGAAAGAATTTGATCTCGAACAGGTGTAAGATCTGGACCGAGAGCTGCAAGTGTCAGGACCATAAAGAACTTGTCCCGTTGAGCCAAATCTTCTGCCGCAGATTTACCAGCTGGTAACAGCAGATTGAATTCTGTCTTAAGGGAAGCCATCTTACCAGGAAGTCCGACATATTCATATCCTGTTGTTTGAGATGAACTAGGTTGGACACAACAGAATATAACGTTGAATGTCATTGTATAGAGAAGTTTAGCCTGACTCCAAATATCAACACAGAGCGTAAGATTTATAAATAGGGTGAAGGGGGGGATCAATAGTTTGCCATAACTACTACACGCATAGCATCAATTTTAGTCAGGAAGACTTATCTGACGTACTATCGGCAGCTTTGGTGGTCAAGTGATCCTCCAGACCTTGACCTATACACCATAATTCGACAGAGGCAGCCCATGATGAAAATTAGCAGTCCCAATTAATCGCTCAGTGGTGATGGGAGGGAGAGATACAAAGAAAAACCACTTGGATGAGAAGAGAGAGGCTGTTTTGAAGAATCCATGAAGTCTTGAAACTGACAGAAACACAAAAACTTACGCTTGCCGGAAAAACTGAACGGAGGAGGGGCTGCTAGAAAAACGATGGCTCGTGGGGGCGTGCAGCGACGGCCGACGACGAACCACTTGGGTTAGGAAGAGGAGAAGACGATCAGTCCGGTGTGATTGGACCAAATTTTGATCGTTGTTGGAGAACAGTCGCCGAAAAAAAAAAATCCGAGAAGAGAGAAAAATTTTTTTTTTTTTTTTTAGAAATTTCAGATACCAAGCTCTGATACCATGTGGAGAAATATTTTTCTTGTATTTCATAATGAGATGTACAATGAATTTATAGCAAAAACAAAAAACTAATCTAGGAAGTAAATTGTTACATTCCTATTATAATTCTATTTCCTATTCCTATTATAATTCTATTTCCTATATTACAATGAGAATAATTCTATTTCCTATATTACAAAGAGAATAATTCTATTTCCTATTTTACATTTCAACATAGCCCAATGAATTTAGTTGCAACTAAAACATTTTGTTCTTATATCACATGTTCAACCTACAGTGTTAAATTTTTGACACAAATTTTTTAGACTATCTTTTAAAAGCAAAATGAGGACAAAGATAGATCTAGGAAAAAAGTTTAGGCGGTGGGAGAAGTTGGGGTTGGAGATCAAGGAAATCAAGTGTTTGGACACAACTTTAATTTTGACCAAGGATTTGATAGGGAGGCAAACAAATATTTCAATTAGAAGGTCATAATTGTTGGCGATTTTTTCGGCTGATGATGATGATTGGTATTGGTGAGAAGAAGAGGAGGCTATAGATTTAGTAGAGTCAGCTATGGCTTTGTTTGTGGAAAGCATGATTAACCATATGGTGGGAAAACTACAATATATCCAGTGCGGTAATTAATCGAACACTTAGAATGCGGAAACAACAGTAAGAATTCCAAATAAGAAGCAACGATCAACAAACAAGGAGATAATAAAAACACAGTGGGACAGAAATAAACAACACAATGAAAACACAAAGTAATGTGATTTAGAGTAAAATATACCTAAATCCGCAGGTAGTGATAATCCTCACTGTAGTTCTACAATTTCAAAGAAACCCTAGATTTTTTTCCACACGATCCCTTCTCTTACCAGTCACCAACCGTAAGCCGCCACTCGCCAACCCTAAGTCGCTAGTCGCTGAGAACAAGGAGAAAAGGAAAATGACTTTTCGTTAGTCGGCAACCCTAAGTCGGCAGTGCTTCAGTTATTGAGAACAGGGAGGGTTACAGACTATAGAGAACAAGTTGAAAAGGCTTCTCCCTTCTTTGTTCCTACGTACTTTAGTGGGACACGTGGCAATCATTCAGGGGAAGTTTCAATTTTTAAATTTTGATTTTTGGGGATTCATGTAAATAGACCATCTTACCCTTCTTCAGAACGGATTTGTCTAACGGAACATAATGGTGGGTGGGAAAGTGTCGTTTTGAAACTTCATGGGTGGGAAAGGGTGGTTTCACCAAACCTTGGGTGGGAAAAAGTCGTTCTCCCGTGTAAGATTTTATTCAAAATTAAGTGGCCGGATTTTAGGGGCATTAATATTAATGATTTAATAGCAAATAAATTTTGTCCGTACATTAGGCTATGCTTTGCATCCACTCAACAATATTTCTACAAAGTAAAAAATTAAATAAAAATATTTACTTTTTCAACCCCTAAGGTTTTATATAATAACCCCTTAGATTTTAGAAATAACAAAAATCCCCTACTATTAGTGAACTTAGGCATGGCAATGGGGCGGGGATCTTATTCACCGTACCCATCCCCGCCCTCAAAATCACTCCCCACCCTCATCCCATCCCCATTACAAGGAAATTGGGAAAATATGGGTTTATATGGGTAGGATAATTGTATAATTAGGTAAAATATAAGAGTATTAGTGAAAAGTAAGTCTGTATATATATATATTTTTTTTTTTTTTAAATTTTATATATTATATACAGGGCGGGGATCTTATTCACCGTATCCATCCCCGCCCTCAAAATCACTCCCTACCCCCACCTCATACCCGTTACGGGGAAATTGGGAAAATATGGGTTTATATAGGTAAGATAATTGTGTAATTAGGTGAAATATAGGAGTATTAGTGAAAAGTATATATATATATATATATATTTTTTTTTTTATTTTTTTTATATATTATATACGGGGTGGGACAAGGGAAAGGCATCACCCACCCCGCCCCATCCCTGGGGTTGGGGATTAAAACGCCCCCCACCCCAGCCCCTATCCCCCAAAAAACCCAGCCTTCCTTACCCCATAAGGGGCAGCGCGAGATGGGTCCCTAGAATTTTGGGAAATATTGTCATGCCTAAGTGAACTTTTAATGCACTGTTAGAATTTAAAACATAATATGTTAATTGATATTTTATCATGTTACCCTTTTACCGTTTATTTTAACACAAAAAATTTAACGACAAGAGAATTTTGTATTTGATTATACCTGGAGGTTTAGGCAATTGTATTCCACTCATGTATTTCACTCGCACTGACATACACGTGGTATACTCTCATTAGTAGAGGGTATTGTATCAGGATGTACAAAGGACTCTGCTTATTACTTAAGACAAGGTGCTGAACATAAAATAACTACAAAAATAGGAAAAAAATTACAATATAATAGAGTTACCACATCATCCATACAACCTTTTGGTGAATTTGTGACACCTCTAAATTGTTTTCTCTCTCCTCTATCTTTAAATTAATTGGACTGGTAATTATAAAATGTAATAATTACATGGCATGCATGTATTTCTTTGTGAATTTACCACATCAGCAATACTCCAATGGTACCATAGACTTTGTCAAGAAATTGAGGTTTTACCATGTCAGCACAGACACGATATAGCTCAAATGTGCCTCAAATTCAGGACACAAAAAACATTTGCTTTGTGTCTATATAAATATGTATGATCAACAGCTTTATGTTAAGAGCATTTTCAACATGAAATGCTTTAATCTCATAAGGTTTAATATAATGAATCTTCAACATGAAAACAAAAACTGACCAGAGACAATACTAAAAAATGAAATTAATGGAGTAGCATATATTCTGAAGAAAAGCTGAAAGCAAATAAATGAAGAAAACAAGAACAAAAGACCCTCTTCAACTGAGCGGAAATGTGGTCTCATTAAGGCCAGCTTCTATATGGAGGATGAGCTAAATCTTCATCAGGACTCTGGGCATTCTGAAAGTTTGATCCTTCTCATCTGTTAGATTAAAATATATCAGAAAAATAAACAAAACTAAACAAAGGCACTGCCTTTAATTGTTGTTTGTTTCAAAAGAGGGAATTCAGAAAACCTTCAAATATTCAAAGCCAATGAATCCAACCTAACAAAATAAGATGTTATATTAGTAATGCATGATGGGGTTAATGCCAACTACACGTTCTGAAACTTCAGAAACTGATACTCAAATTGGATTAAAGCAAAAGAGTCTTCCATATATTGTAGAGTTAAATAAAGGGTACTTAAGCTATTGTAATGTTGTAAAAGGAAATACATACCATATTCGGATATTGATGGAATTTAAGTCATGATCTTTCCGAAAAGAGTAGCGATCTTTTGTATGGTGGATGCACCCGCACTCTGCGTGATTTTGGTGTGCTGAAGTCTCCTCTGCAAAAATTCTTCAATTTTGGACATTCTTCAATAGTGACTTCTTCCAAACATGGGAATTTGAACGCAAAATTCGCAGAGCAGAAGTATGACAGGCTTGGCAAACAATGTAGCTCCAAAATTTTCAGTCGGCTGAAAACAATCTCTTCTTTTGTTTCTGCTTCCCCATTGTTTGATATTATTACCTCTAACAATGAACCGCACTCTCTTATTCTAATTGTCGTGAGGTTCACTAAACTTTTCGCTGTGGAGCACGTTGATATGTTTGTCAATCTACAGCATTTCCATATATCCAAACTTATAATATATTTGAAAGATCCTGAGGATGGCATTAAGGATGTCAAATGATCACAAGACCGTACTTCCAATATTTTAAGTTTTGGAAGAAACAGCTTCCCCTGGGAACGTTTCCATATATGTTGTAGATGAGGAAGAGAATCGAGCTTTAAGATTGTTATTGGCAAAGATTTCACTTTCACATGGTGTTTCTGCTGATCAGATTCTTGACTTGGAAATAGCTCAGTGAAATTACTTCTAGCTACAACTAGTGTTCTTAGCTTGTGGAATCTTCGAAGGAAATCTAACGGAAAGACAGGTGATTCATCATGAAAGCAGACCACCTGAAGATCTTCAAGTTTGTGAAACATCTTTCCTGAAAAATGGCTGCAGCCTGAGCATATCAATTTAATATCATCGCTGTTTATAGACAATTTCTCCAACTTCAAATCGGATATCACCTGAAAATCCCAAGTAGGCATTAATTAATGTTCTTCTACATATTCCTCAAACAAAGCTCAGATAAGCATAGAACCTCTGAAAGAAAATTTTCATACCTCTCCAGGGGAAAACAGAGGATGTTGAGTTTGGTTTTCGGATTGGCTCTGGACATGTGTATTTTGGAAGCTAAGAAGCTTATGACAATGATAAACCACTAAGCTTTTTAGCAATGGCAACTCTGTTGTGTGCGACCTGGGGTAGAAACTTTTGAGTTCTGGTAAATCAACAAGTTGCAAGAAATCCAGTTGAAGAAACTTAAACACAGCCGCCACTTTTACTTCCTCGTTGGCAACAATTTCCTCCAACCCACAAGAGTTTATCTCAAGCTCTTTAAGTTGCCGGAGACCTAATGCTATAGAGACTGGAAAGAGGTTTTTCATACTCCAACATTCTGTAACCCTTACAATTTCTAGATTTTGAAATGTGTGAAGTCTTTGCGGATTCTTTGATAATCTTCCGAGTCTGTCAGGAGGAACAAAACTGATTAATTTTCCACAAAATTCAACTCTCAAAACCTTTAGTTTGCAGAAAGAATCTGCTTGGAGTCTATTGTGCCATATCAACTGGATGTTATCCAAGTGTGAGAGTATCATCTTCTCCAAGCTTGGACAATGAACCTGTATAACACGAAGCAGAAGATGAATAACAGTAGTTTCATTCTCTAAGTTCATTTCTTCATGTTCTTTCTTGGAGAAGAATGTCTTCAAACTCTGACAACTCTCAATGTGAATTGCGTTCAAGGATGGGAATTCAACCACAGAAGATGGAAACATAAATTTCAAAGCATGACAATCCTTCACAGTCAACCTTAAAAGTTTTGGGAACACAACCTGCAGAAAGAATTCTTGTTCTGTAAACAAACTTAGAAATGTATTAAAATACCAGGAAAAAAAAAATAATAAAAAAAAAATAAAAAAACTATACCTTTTGATCAGCATGGTCTGTAGATTCTTCAATTTCTTCATCACCAAAAATCTCTTTTAGGTTCTTGCAATCAGTCACTTCGACTTCTTGGAGATGTGAAAGGTTTCTTGCCATGGAGATTGAGAAGACATGCTCCAACTCATCACATTGTCTAATTATTATGGTCCTTAAATTGGTAAAGGATTCTGCGTAGAGTCGACCTTCACATATCTTCTTCAACTTCTTCAATTTATGGAGATACAGCGACTCTAACACAGGAAAGGCAGTGTGACAATGAGCCGTCTCTGAGTTAAAAATATGTAAAAGATCCCCCCAACTATTCTGAACACAAAGATGCTTTAATTCTGGGAAACCTTTCTCTGAGTTGAGAGCTTCAACCACATCTTCAACGCCACTCAGTTGATCTAAGTAGAGATCTTCTACTTTCTCAAACAAAATGTCAAACTCATAACTCCTGAAACTGTGACTATTGTTGAGTTTCAACGTTCTNTTTGTCCTTCATTTCCTCTCGGCATACTTAGCAACCAAGTTATTTCTCTTACCTCTCTATCTTTTCCTTTCGGCATACTCAGCAGCCAAGTTGCTTCTCTTGCTTCTCCATCTCCAAGTTCTGACAATGGCCCAGATCAAGTCAACCAATCCAACTGTCAGTAGCAGGTCAATCAATTGATTTCATCCAACGGTTAACAAACTTGGCAATTTCAGAGTGGATCTGATGGCTATGGATCATTCAGATATAGATAATTAACTCAAGAGCTAGTGATCACAGTATTTGTAACCGAATGTTTTTTTTCCAAACACACAACACCAAAATTTCCTATTTCTGTCCACATACCAAATGGCAATAATACACCAACCACACATGTCGGTATCATCTAGCTAACATAAAAATTGGTACTTAAAAAT